TCCCCGCCCCTTCCCCCCCCTCTTTCCCCCTCACCCCTCTCGTTTTTTGGGTGAAATTCCGGCGATTTTGGGGTCGGGCCGGACCCGGAAGTTGCCGCTCCTGGAGGGGCCGGCCCGCGGCTCCTGCGCCGGCGGCCGCAAGGGGGCGCTGTTGGCGCTGGCGGCGCTCGCGCGCGGCTGCGGCGCCGCCTTGCGGCAGCGGTGAGCTCCTTATATGGTCAAAAAATGGGCGGGGCTTCAGGGCAAGGGGCGGTGTTTGATACTATATATGGAGATGGGCGGTTTAAAGCCTTTTATGGGAAAAAGGGCGGGGGTTAAAGGCTGTGGGTGGGGTTTAAAGCCTTTTATGGGGTTGTGGGTGGGGTTTAAAGGCTGTGGGTGAGGCTTAAAGGAAAGGGGGCGTGGTTAAACCCTTTAATGGAGTTGTGGGCGTGGCTTAAATCCTTTTATGGTGTTGTGGGCGGGGTTTACAGGCTGTGGGTGGGACTTAAAGCATTGTACGTGTTTGTGGGCGTGGCTTGTGGAATTTTAATGAACTGTGGGCGTGGTTTAAGGTTGTGGGTGGAGTCTAAAGCCTTTTAAGGAATTGTGGGCATGGCTTAGCATAGTGGGTGGGGTTAAAACCCTTTTATGGGTTTGTGGGCGGGGCTTAAAGGCTGTGGGTGTGGCCTAAAGCCTATTGGTGGGACGGGCTTTAAACCCTTTTATGGTGTTGTGGGCGTGGTTAATCCAAACTAGGTGTGGTGGGCGTGGCTTAAACTGCAGAGGGTGTGGTCTTTGGTGGTGGGCGTGGCTTTAAACGCTGTGGGCGTGGCCTAAATTTGTGTGGGCGTGGCTTAAACTGGGCCGGGTGCTATTTAATGTGTGTGGCTTAAACGAAAGTGGGCGTGGCTAAAACGAAAGTGGGCGTAAACTGGGCCGGGTGCTATTTAATGTGCGCGGCTTCAACGGTTTGGGCGTGGCTAAAACGAAAGTGGGCGTGGCCTGATTGAAGTGGGCGTGGCCTCAGGTACCTGGGGGCGGTGCTGGGGGCCCTGCGGGCCGGGCTGGGAGACCCCGAGGGCGCGGTCAGGGGGGCGGCGGCCGCGGCGCTGAGAGAGCTCCGGGAGGAACTGCAGGTACCGGGGATTTTGGGGGGATTTTGGGGATTTTGGGGATTTTGGGGATTTTTGGGGATTTTTGGGTGAATTTTGGGTGAACTTTGGGATTTTTCAGGTGAATTTTGGGCATTTTCGGGTGATTTTTGGGGATTTTCGGGTGAATTTTTGGGATTTTGGGGGTGAATTTTGGGGGATTTTGGGGGGGGTTTTTTGGGGATTTCTAGGGAGATTTGGGGGGATTTTTGGGGGGAATTTTGGGATATTTTGGAGATTTTTTGGGTGAATTTTGGGGATTTTTGGCTGAATTTTTGGGTGAATTTCTGGGATTTTTTGGGTGAAATTTGGGCATTTTCGGGTGATTTTTGGGTGAATTTTGGGTGAACTTTGGGATTTTTCAGGTGAATTTTGGGCATTTTCGGGTGATTTTTGGGGATTTTCGGGTGAATTTTTGGGATTTTGGGGGTGAATTTTGGGGGATTTTTGGGTGAATTTTTGGGATTTTTTGGGTGAATGTCTGGGATTTTTTGGGTGAATTTTGGGCATTTTCGGGTGAATTTTTGATGAATTTTGAGGATTTTTCGGGTGAATTTTTGGGATTTTGGGGGTGAATTTTGGGGAATCTTTGGCTGAATTTTGGGGATTTTCGGGTGAATTTTTCGTGAATTTTTGGGATTTTGGGAGTGAATTTTGGGGAATTTTTGCGTGAATTTTGGGGATTTTTGGGTGAATTTTTGGGATTTTTTGGATGAATTTTGGGGTATTTTTGGGTGAATTGTGAGTATTTTTGGGGGTTTTTTGGGGATTTTTGGGGATTTTTTGGGGATTGTTGGAGGGGTAAATTTGGGATTTTTGGGGAATTGGTTTGGGGATTTCGGGGGGTTTTTTGGAGGGAATTTTTGGGGTGAATTTTGGGGTGAATTTTCGGATATTTTGGGGATTTTGGGGTGAATTTTTGGGATTTTTTGTGATTTTTTGTGTGAATTTTGGGATTTTTCGGGTGAATTTGGGGATTTTTGGGTGAATTTTTGGGATTTTTCAGGTGAAATTTGGGGATTTTTGGGGTGAATTTTTTGTGAATTTTTGGGATTTTGGGAATGAATTTTGGGGGATTTTTCGGTGAATTTTGGGGATTTTTGGGTGAATTTTGGGGATTTTTGGAGTGAATTTTGGGGACTTTGGAGCTGCTTTTTGGGGTGAATTTTGGGGATTTTGAGCTCCAGTTTTTGGGATATTTTGGGGAATTTTGGGGTAAATTTTAGAATTTTTTGGGTTGAATTTTGGAGATTTTGGGGTGAATTTTTTTGATTTTTTGGTTGAATTTTGGGGATTTTTGGGGCTGAAATTTGGGCTTGTTTTGGATGTTTTGAGCTCCAATTTTGGGATTTTTTGGGGGAATTTTGGGGTTTTCCAGCCCGAGGTGGCGCAGCTGGCGGCCGAGGCCCTGCCCAGGATTTTGGGGGAATTTTGGGATTCCCAAAATTCCCCAAATTCCCCAAATTCCGACCCCAAATCCTGGTTCGTGCTGGAGACGCTGCTGGAGGCGCTGGGTGAGGAAATTTGGGGCAAAAATGGGAAAATTTGGGCAAAAATTTGGAAAAATAAGAAAAAAAAGGAAAAATTTCTACAAATTTGGGCAAAAATTGGGAAAATTTGGGGCAAGAATTGGAAAAATGGGGAAAATTTGGGGAAAATTGGGAAAATTTTGAGATAAAATTGGGAAAATTAGGGACAAAAATTGGGAAAAAATGAAATTTTCTACAAATTTGGGGAAATTTGGGGGAAATTTGGACAAAAATTAGGAAAATTTAGGAAAATTTCAGGGAAAATTGGGGAATTTTGGGACAATTTGGGCAAAAATTGGGAAAAAATGAGAATATTTGGGGAGAAATTGGGAAAATTTGGGGGAAATGTGGGAAAATTGGGAAAAAATTGAAAATAAAAGGGAAAATTTGGGAAGAATTTGGGACATTTTGGAGGAAAAAAGAAGAAAATTGGAGAAATTTGTGAAATTTGGGGGAGATTTGGAAAAAATTGGGAAAATTTTGGACAATTTGGGGCAAAATGGGAAAATTTGAGAAGAAATGTGGAGAAAAATGGGGAAAATTGGGGAAATTTGGAGGAAATTGGGAAATTTTAGACAAAAATTGGGGGAAATTGGGAAAATTTGGGATAAAATTGGTGAAATTTGGGCAAAACTTTGGGAGGGGAAATTTGGGGGAAATTGGGAAATTTTAGACAAAAATTGGGGAAAATTGGGAAAATTTGGGATAAAATTGGGAAAATTTGGGCAAAAAATTTGGGCAAAAATGGGAATATTTGGAGGGAATTTTGGGGAAATTTGGGAAAAAATTGGAAAAAAAGGAAAATTTGGACAAAAATTTGGGATAAAATTGGGGAAATTTGGGAAAAAATTTGGAAAATTTTGGGGAAAATTGGAGAAATTTGGGACAAAAATTGGGGAAAAAATTAGGGGAAATTTGGGGAAAATTGAGAAATTTTCTAAAAATTGGGGAATTTTTGGAGGATTTGGGACCAAAATGGGGAAAATTTTGGGAACATTTGGGTGAAAATTGGGGAAAAATTGAAAAAAAAAGGAAACTTTGGGAAAATTCTGGAAAATTTTGGGGTTAATTTTAATAATTTGGGTTAATTTTATGTTAATTTTGTGTTAATTTGTGCTCATTTTCAGTTAATTTTTGATAATTTTTCTTAATTTTGGGTTAATTTGTGTTAATTTTGCTAATTTTGTGTTAATTTTTGTTGATTTTGGGTTAATTTTTGTTAATTTTGGGTTAATTTTTGACAATTTTGATTAATTTCTTATTAATTTTTGTTCATTTTTGGGGTTTTTTTGCTAATTTTTGGTTAATTTTTGATAATTTTTCTTAATTTTGGATTAATTTGTGTTAATTTTGCTAATTTCATGACAATTTTTTGTTCATTTTTGGTTCATTTTTGTTAATTTCCTGTTAATTTTTGCTAATTTTGGGGGGTTTTTTGCCAATTTTCAGTTAATATTTGACAATTTCTCTTAATTTGGGGTTTATTTTTATTAATTTTATGTTAATTTTTGTTCATTTTTGGTCAATTTTTTGCTAATTTCATGTTAGTTTTTGATAATATTTGTTAATTTGGGTGGGTTTTTTGCCAATTTTCAGTTAATTTTT